GCACATGGCTGGCCAGGCCCAATGCTCTGTGGATGTCCAAAGTTTACCTCCACTTTCCTCTGCTATTAGCCTTGGTTCCAACTTCCTATGATTAAAACTAACACTGCGATGCACCACCTAGCCTTATTTTTAAATAACATTTAATCTTTTCTGAAAATAGAAGTTAAGCATTCTCACAGTAGGAAATACAGAGAAAAAAAGAAAATAAAAATCACTCATAATTCCAGAGATAACTGCCACTTAGAGGTTTAACCAGAACCAAACTTTCCAGAGGCAAACAGGTCCAGGCTTTGACACCCCCACCAGAAGAACCAAAAGATACATTGTCTTATTAAAGACCTTGAGAAATCTTTAGCAAAAAGGAAACTTGCCCAAATGTCTAAAAACTGGTGAATGGATAAACAAAGTGTGGTACATTCACACAATGGAATACTATTCAGAAATAAAAAGGAATAAGTACTGATACATGCTACAAGGTGGATGCACCTCAAAAACACTATGCTAAGTGAAAGAAGCTAGACTCAAAAGACCAAATGCTATGATTCCATTTTACAGGAAATGTCCAGAAAAGGCAAATCCATACAGATAGGAAGTAGATTAGTAGTTGCCTGGGGCTGGGACAGTGACTGCAAATGGGCACAAGGTTTCTTTTCAGAATGATGGAAATGTTCTTAAATTAGTTGGTGATGTTGCTCAACTCTGTAAATTTACTAAAATTCATTGAATTGTACACTTAAAATGAGTGAATTTAGCAGTATGTAAATTATAACTCAATAGAGCTATTTTTTAAAAAAAGGAACCCAGTTTAAATTCATTTAACATTCAAAAAACTAAGGGAGGACTCCTCACCCCCAAATTCTCTCTCCCCCTCTCTTTCATACACACCCACTGTTAACACCCCCGAACTTCCCCTTAACCCGACTGACAATTTCTGCATCATTAACAGTTTGTAATGTTTCTTTCCTGTTTTTTTCCTATATGTTATCTCATTTGAATCATAATTCATATATTTTTATCTTTGTTTTCTCTTTTTTCATCACTTACATAGTGAGTACCTTCCCAGGTCATTAAATATTTTTCAAAAACATGAATTTTAAATGGCTGAATAATATTGCATCACATAAGATATACCATGGGCTCTGGGGAGGGAGACTGAGGCTGAGGGGTGGAGACACATTTCCCTATCCCTAGAGGCCTTGTTGCATTTCTGTTTTTCACTATGTGCACATACATCTCCACTAGCCTCCTCAAAAAAAAAAAAAATATATATATATGTATATATATAATCTTACACTGGAGAGTGCACATAAAAGAGGGACTTACCACTGATTTTTTTTCGTTTTCCCTCTCTTTATCTACAAAAGAAAGGAAATCAATTTTTAAACTCAGTTTTAAATGATTCACTCTTCTTTATCCTAATTTGCTACACCAACACAAAAACTAATTTTTATGCTTGCTCCCTGGCCTGAAAATATTTCCCTGTGACACCTGGGATGCTCCATGGGTGGATGGAAGCAGCCCCACCACTGCTGTCTACCTGTGACAGTGTGCAACTGCTGCCTGGGTGCTATTGGCACCTCTGGGCCCCAACTGTGCTCAGCTTTTTTCCCTTAGTATATTATACTTCCCATTTTCCACATATTTGATATTTATGATCCTCACAGATGGGTGTCCAGCAAGGTAAAATGCAGAGTGGCAGCCAGCACTCGTAGCTCACGGTTAAGAGTGAGCAGTGGCCATAGGTTTCAGCCCAGGACTCAGGTTTCTTCTCTAAGCCCTGGGCTGACATGGAGGCCGACCCACCCCACAGGTGGTTCTGAGTTTTCACTGAACAGCCGAAGGCCCAAGAGCGCCAGAACTTGGCTATAACGGTGGCTCCCATTTCTGAACGGGGGGTCTCCACTCCCTATGGGAGAAGGAGGGCCCCGGAGCTTAACCCCCTCTCCACTGGTTAGCAGCAGCGTGCGCTGGGGGCTGGCGAACTGTAGCTCTCAGCCCCATCTCCCCCAAAGCGGACGAGCAGTGGACGGGGGACCGCCCCCGCCCGCGGGGAGGGGGTTCTCGCTGCTCTTTGGAGGGCTGCCCAGCTCCGAGGGGGCGGCGGCCCCGAGCCCCGCGGCCTCAGCCCCTCGCTGCCGGCTCGCGTCCGGGATACCGGCCAGTGAACGCCCCCACCCCTCCCCGCAGCCCCGGGAGGAAATCCCGGCGCCGCGGAGAAAGAGTTTCGGGCTCAGGCCGGTCCGGTGAGCAGGGGGCGGGGAGTGGGGCGGCTGGGGCCGCCTCGGCCGCCAGCGGGGGGACCCGAGAGGCGCGTTACCCCGAGGCCAGGCCCGGCGCTGCGCCCCCCGCGAGCCCGGACCCGAGGGGAGGCTCCCGGGCCCCTCGCGGCGCAGCGCCCGGGCGGCCCAGCTCCGCAGCGGTCGCAGCAGCATGGCCGGCCGGGCAGGTCCGGCGGCCCGGGCCTCCTTCCCTGCGAGTCAGCCGCAGGCGGGCCAACCTCCTCCGCGCGCTGCCTGCTTCCCGCGTCGCGCCTGCCTGGCGCCTGCTGGAACACGGCTCTTAAAGAGACCCCGTCGTATTTCACCCTCTCTCCCAGAGGGAAAATAATGCGAGGTGAGGGGTCCACCGTTTGCAGCCAGGAAATCTGCCCGCTAACGGGACGCTGGCAGAATGAAACCGTGACTTGGCAAGACTCGGTGGATGGCTGGCTAACAACACCGCGACTGATTGGTTAATTACTGGACATTACTTAGTTGAGCACCTGTTCTATCCAGGCACCTGGCCCACACTCACAGTGTCATTTATTCTTCCCAACAGCCCTGAAAGTGGATATTGTCACTCCCATTCTCAGAACTGAGCTGATCCTCAGAAACGTAGGTAACTGGTTAAAAGAAGCAGCAGCATTCATTAAGGGGTAGAGCTGGAATTCAACCCCATCTATCTTGCTTCATAGCTTAGCTCTTTCCTCTGAACTTTGACATTTCTAGGGTTTGGACTGTAAATGTATTAGATCCCTCAGGAAGGTGTTAAAAAACACAGGCCCAAAATGGAGTCACTTATGCTAAACCCCACCTCACCAAACCAAGACTAAACTTATAGTTTCAGCTTTCCCAGAAATGGAATCTTAAAAGAGTCAATCAGAATGGCCTGATCAGCACTATTTAGGTAATCTGCTGAAAGACCCCTGCCATCCCCTAAAGAAAGTAACCTTGCAATAACCAACCAGCTTTTTTGCCTAGTGTAACTTCCTTGTTCCTACTCCCTTCTGCCTTTACATCTTTCATTTTGTACACCTCCTCAGAGCTCCTTTCTATCTGCTAGACTGGATGCTGCCCAATTCGAATTGATTTGTGCTATTAAAATTTTTTAAGACAAAATTTTTAATATGCCTCAGTTTATTTATTTTTTTTGTGAGGAAGATCAGCCCTGAGCTAACATCTGTCGCCAATCCTCCTCTTTTTGCTGAGGAAGACTGGCCCTGGGCTAACATCCGTGCCTATCTTCCTCCACTTTATATGGGAGACCACCACAGCATGGCTTGACAAGTGGTGCGTAGGTGCATGCCCGGGATCCCAACCCCAGGGCCACTGCAGCGGAGGGTGTGCGCTTAACCGCTACGCCACCAGGCCGGCCCCTCAGTTTATGTTTTAATGAAGGTACAACCAGTATTCCAACTGAACAGACAACAAGAGGCTGGGTAGGAAGCCTGTAAATCCCATCCATAGTCAGGTAGCAAAAATTCAGCCCAGCTGTTAGGTAAGTGGGATATAATTCAACAGGCCCAGGCCCTGGAACCTAAGCTGTTGCAGTAAGGAGCAGTGACTGTGTGTGTGCATGCCACACCTCTCTCAGGAGTGCAAGATGCTAGCAGTCACCTCTTGGGCAGAGAGAAGAAGGAAGTTGTTTTCCAGAGGGTTCACTCAGCTTCTAGATCTGATACCGGAAAGCCAAAACCCCATCTTGTGCTTCCTATAATATCTACCACAGACCTAGCACAGGGCAAGTGTGCCCTGCATAAACAAACTTCAGGATTAAGTTCAACCTTTTTTTTGAGTGACTTGGGATGAGGCTGTTGGAGGCACCTGCTGATCAGATTTGACTGAATGAAATGGACTGAAGCTGAGATGGGCAGGATCTAAAGGAGTCTGAATGGACTGGGGTGATGGCCAATTTAACCAAGACAGAATTTAAATCACATAAAAGGAGCCACACCTACTTCACATCCTTAAAAAGAAAGGCTCCAAGATGGTGGAGCTATGGCTTCATAGGAGCATTTCCGGAAAACACGAACTGAATTGAGTATCCGAATCGCCACAGGCTGTTCTATGAAGAATCAGCACCAGTGGGAGGCAAAAATAAAAATATGCAGAACAAACAGGCTCACAAACCCAGACTGTGATCCCCTGGGAGCAGGGATAGGAGATGAGGCCCAGGCCACTAGTTCAGACTACATATATTCTACATCTATTATGTGCCAGACCCTGGGGACCCTGCAGGGAGAGAAGCAGACAGGCAGGCCCCTTCTTTTGTGCGATTTAAATTCTTAAGATATAAATATCTCAGTAGTGATAAATATTATGAGAAGAGAGTGATGGTGGCTACTCTAGACGGAGTGACCAAGGAAAATCCTCTCTAAGGAGGTGGCATTTGAGATGCTCATGGTCGGGGCTGGCAGGGCAGCCACTCCTTTCTCGCCTCTCCCCCCGAGCCTCCGGGAGGCTTTTAACAAAGGTACAGAGCTGGAGAGCCAATATCATTGGTGCCCGGAAGGGCGGGGCGGTGTTAACAGGAGACTGGCTTGCGAGGCCCCCCTCCAGGTGGGTAGAAATGCAACAGGCTAACAACGACAGCTACCTAGCGAGAGCAGCCAGCCGGCGGCTCTGGTGTGGCGCATGCGCATGAGTGCGGGCCGCGGTGACGTGCGCATGCGCGCGCGAGGGCGGGAGGCCTAGAAGGACCGCGCGCGGCGGGGGCGGCGGTTGCAGTTGCCGCGCGGCGCCTGGCGGAGCGGGGCGCTGAGGAGAGGGACTGAAGGAGAAGTGGCTGCTGCTGGGTGTGCGGGCGCGATGCAGACCCTGAAGCCGAAGCCGAAGCATCGCCCCTTCTGCTTCAGCGTGAAAGGCCACGTGAAGATGCTGCGGCTGGTGAGGGCCGGGCCGCGGGTGGGGCCGGTGCTCCAGCGCGCTCGGGGGCAGTGAGATATGGCTGTGAAGCATGAAGCGGGCTGCCCTGTCTGCTCTTTCCACCTCGTTTTTATTAGAGGCAAGGCATTCCGCTGTGCACCCTGGGGGTAGCAGGAGAGAAATAAGGCACTGCCCTCCCCTTCAGGGGGTTTACGGACACACTCCTAAAGCAAAATCTATCTGTCATATCTATATGAACGGCCTACGCCACAACCCACAAACCAGGTGCCCAGCTCACCAGGTGAGGCAGCCGCAGTTGTACCACTCAGAAGCCAACAAGATGAAAAAGACTAAGGGGTTTCCGTGGATGCTGTGTTTACTTACTCTAAGTCAGAAGTTTGATGTGATTGAGCTCAAGGCTGATACAGTCCAGAGCAGGGACGATGGAACTGCCCGTTTGTGGGGCGTCAGACATACCAGGAACATTGCAGTCAGTTCTCAACAGAGGTGTGGAGAGAATGAATCCGCATTTGGAGGAAAGTGACCTGGCTAGTTAGAGAAGTGTTTCCACTATCATAGGAGAATATGTTGAAGGAATTCAAAAAGCGAAAAGAGGAAGGAAAAAATAATTTTTAGTTTTAAATAGATGACCTATAGGAGAGAGAGTGGAAATAGTTAAGTTACAGGGAAACAGTTCTGCTTAATATGAGGGAAAGTTTTCTATTGGGAAAGTTCCAAAAATTCAATGGCCACTTGGAAAGGCAGTACCTTCCCAGACAGCAAAGGTAACAGGCGTAGATGAGCACTTAGGGAGGATGTTGTAAAGGAGATTCAGACTTCAAATTGCAAACAAAGTCCTTCCCACACCAAAAGTCTGTGATTCTGAGAAATAACTACAACAGAATACAAGTCAGAATGCATAGGAGAGGTTTAGAAAACTGCTCTGGAGTTCAAAGGACAGAGAGATTACATTGGGTTGGGAGTAAATAACCAGGGAAGAAGTGACCTGAGGGTCTGGGGTTTTATGCCAGCTAATGAAAGCTCTGGAACACTGGAGGAGGAATAGGATTTTGCAAGAAAGTTTTAGTTTTTGACATATTAATTTCTCAACAAACATTCTGAGTATTTAATGTATTTCAGGATCTGAGTTAGGACCTGGAACAACAAAGACAACCAAGACAAAAGTCCCAGACTCACAGGAGTTCTTCAGTTTAGTCAGAGAGACAGACACATGAGCAGATAGCTTTAATATGTGATAAGATGGAGATAGGGCACAGAGTGAGACATCCAACTGAGGATGAGATAAAGAAAGGTGTCAGGAAACTTCCTAGAGGAACCTACATTGGAGTCTAAGGGACAGCCACCTAAGCAAAGGCATGGAGGCAAAATAACAGCATGATTTATGCAGCAAACTATAAAAGGTTGAGTGTTACCTTATTTTTTTCATTCAACAAATATTTATTGACAGTCTTCCATGTACCAGGCACTGTCCCAGCCTCTTGGGAGATATCAATGAACAAAACAAAGATCCCTGCCTCTGAAGTTTCCATATTGGGGTGAGAGGGTAGGGGAGACAAACAATAAACACAATAAATAAAGAAATGATGTAGTATTCTAGAAGGTGGTAAGTGCTATGGAACAAAGAAATGTAAAGCCAGGTAAGGGAGTATAAGGGGAGGGTTGGAGAAGAGGGTTGCATGTTTCAGTAATAGAGTGGTCAGATTAGGCCTTGTTGAGATGACACCTGAGCAGAGTTGAGAGCGGCGAGGGAGTTAGCTATGAGAATACCTGAAGGAAGTGTTTAAGGCAAAGGAAAATCCAGTACAATGGCCCTGTGTCAGGAATGTACCTGAAGGGTTCAAGAAAGAGCAAGGAAACCAGCATAGCTGGAGAGGAGTGACAGGGGGACACAGTGGGATATGAGGAAGGTTTTGAGTAAAGTTGTATATGATCTGACTAACATTAAAAAAAAAATACACCAGCTGCTATGTTGACAATAGATTGGTGGGGGGGACAGGAAGAGATTGCTGCAGGGGCAAGGGTAGAACCAAGGAGACCAATTAGAGCTATTGCAGTAATGTGGGCAAGAGATGATAGTGACTTGGACCAGGGTGTTAGCAGAGTAGGTTACAAGAAATGATCGCATTTGAGATATATTTTGAAAGTAGCCCCAACAAGATTTGCTGAGGAACCAGATGTTGTGTGAGAAAAAGAAAGGAGTTCAAAATAACTCCAAAGTTTTTGGCCTAAGCAACTGGAAGGATGGAGTTACCATCCACTGAAAGCCTGTGAGTGAAGCAAATGTAGGCCAAGGATCGTTAAGTTCAATTTTCGATTTCATTGTTAGATTAGAGATGTCTATTAAACATCCAAGTAGCAATACTGAATAGGCATTTGGAATATAGAAGACTTGATTTTGTAAGGGAGATTGGCACTTCAGAAATAGAGGTATTTAAAGTCACGAGACTGATGACATCATCAAGAGATGAGTTTAGATAGAGCAGAGTACCATGGATTGAGCCCTTGAACACTTCAACATTAAAAGGTTGGCAAGAGGAGGAAGAACTAGCAAAGAAGAATGAGAGGGAGCAATTAGAAGGGTGGGAGAAACCAAGAGTATGGTGTCCTAGAAGCCAAGTGAAGAAACTCTTGAGGGAATGATCAACTGTGTCAAATTCTGATGATAGCTCAAGTAAGATGAGGACTGAGACTCGAACATTGGAATTATCCTGTGGATATAATTGTCAAGCAACTCTTTGCTAGAGAAGTAGACAGGAGCTGAATCATGGAAGACTTTGAATACCATGGTGAGAGGTAGGCTCTATTCTAAAGACCATGGGGAGACATCGAAGGGTTTTAAATAGGTGGAGAAATGCATAAACAAATTTTTATTTTAGAAATTTTACTGTAGTATCTTTGTCATGGTGGTTTAGGGAAAGGATACGGAAGGGCAGTAGTGGTAGGGATAAAGAGGAGGGAGTGGATTCCCAAAGTGTTTAGGCATTAAGTTAGCAAGACCTGATGATTGATCAGTTGTGGAGTGAGTAGGAGCAGTGATCTTAGGTTTCTAAGGCAGGTGATAAGGTAGGTGGTTGTATCACCAATTAAGATAGCGAATACAGGAGGAAGGGGCAAGATGAGTTCAGTTTTGGACATGGTGAATTTGAGAGTCCTGTAAGTTATTCAGATAGAGATTCTAAATGGTTATTTATGTGTGAGATGTTGAGGACAGACCTGGGATAGAGACCCAGATTCATTGAGTGGGTTGTGAACAGAATCTAAAGGAATGCCAGCATTTTAAAGGGATGGGTAAAAGGAGAGAAGCCCACCAAGAGAGAACTGTTGCAGAGGTATAAGAACAAAGAAGGGTGACATGGGAGCCAAAGGAGTAGAAAAGTAGAAAAAGGATAGCCAATGGCAAATGAGTCATGGGGTTCCAGTAGGATAAGGGTTGAAAATTGTTCATTAAATTTAGTCATTCTGAAATCATTGACGATCTTAGCAAAAGCAGTTTCTATAGAGTAGTGAAGAAATGAGATATTAGTGGGATATTTAAAAGAGAACTGGAAACAAAGGCCAGAAGTTAAGAAAGATATAAGAGCTGTACATATGGATTGGGGGAGAACCTAGCGTGACCAAAATCATGGGAACTTTTAAGAAAATGGATTAATCACCAATGCTAAATTCCATGGTGCAGAAAGGTTACAGAGGATGGGGACTGAAAAAGTGACCTTTGATTTCATAATCCATGAACTCAAGACCTTGGTTCAGTAGAGTAAATGAAGTGGTTTGAGATGACATGTTGCAAATAGTAATTATATTAATTGTAAAGAATGAGTTAATTATAAAGAATGAGTTATTTAGTAACTAGTTATATTTACTATGTAATCAAACTGACCAAGTTATAAGTTTAAAGGTAGGCTATTTTTACACTAATAAAGTAATTGAAAGAATTATGAATAGGTAGCCTGTATAGATTTAAGGTTAAAAAGAGTATGTAGATGCTACCAGCTGACAGACTGATCATAAAAGTTTAGCCAGGGAAGACTCTTGACAAAACCATTTTCCAAGAACACAGACTTTGGATAGAGCTATATCTCCTAAGAACATCATGACATCGAAAGACCCTAGGAACTACCAGCTTATTTCTTCCTTTAAGTCACTTAACATTTCTATGTTCTATATCTTAGTTGGAAATGAGGAAATTGATTAATTATCTTCAGGGGTTTTTTCCACTTAAAATATTTGTCAATTCTGATCGCTTTGTATTTAGGTAAGAGGAAGTGTGTAAAAAGTGAAGCATCAGAATTGTTAGGGGGTTTTCTTCCCCCTTTTTTCCCCATAGAGTTCTTCAGAGAATTGTTTTTCTCTGACAGTTTGTTCGAAACTTTCCTCCCCAGTATTTTTCATGGCAACATTTTAAGTTTAAATTTGACAGTAGATTCCAGATGTTAAAGAGTTAAGGAGTGATGAGTAGATGATAGGGAATTATCACAGCCAGTATACAAACTTTTTTGAGAAGCATTTCAGGGAGAAGTAGAAAATGGGACTTTCTGTGGGGAACAAGATGAAAGGAAGGTATGTGTGTGTGTGTGTGTTTTAAGAGAAGACAACTTAGAGCTGGCCCCGTGGCTTGGCGGTTAAGTGTGCGCGCTCCGCTGCTGGCGGCCCGGATTCGGATCTGGGCGTGCACTGACGCACCGCTTCTCCGGCCATGCTGAGGCCGCGTCCCACGTACAACAACTAGAAGGATGTACATCTATGACATACAACTATCTACTGGGGCTTTGGGGGAAAAAAAAAAGAGAAGACAACTTAGATATGTTTATGGGATGATGAGGAAAGGAGCTAGTGGAGGAGGAGATTGAAAGTACAAGAGGGAAAAGATATTTAATCGAAAAAGATCAAGGGAACAAATGTGGGAAGGGATGGTATTAGATGTACAAGTGGAGTGATTAATTAGATTTAAAACAGGGACACCTAGTTCTCTAAAACACAAAGAGAAGTCAACATCCATACATTTTAGTCATGCCTCTTTTAGATGTGTGTGTATATGGCAGAAACCCATTTATTTAGTTCTTTTAGAAATGATCATTTTTACAGCTTAAACTTGTATTCAATAATCATTGAATAAATCATGTTTTTTTTTATAGGCACTAACTGTGACATCTATGACCTTTTTTATCATCGCACAAGCCCCTGAACCGTACATTGTTATCACTGGATTTGAAGTCACCATTATTTTATTTTTCATAATTTTATATATGCTCAGACTTGATCGATTAATTGACTGTTTATTTTGGCCTTTGCTTGTAAGTGTTCAGTTTCATCATTAAAATTAACTACTTTTTCCTGCCATAGTGAGACATTTTAATAAATTCTGTTCTTTAAGTTTTCTTAAGCCTTTAAGGAATCTGTGATAGGCTTAGGAAGGAGAGACTCCACCTCCTGCTAATGCACTCTGTATTGTTCCTGGGGGAGATTCTCAGGGAACCAGGGCAGCCACAGAGCATAAATTCTCCTCTGAGCTCCATCTATCAGTAGATGTGGCTGACCCTTCTGTTAGGAGAATTCACTTAAGTGTAGATCTTCTAAAGAAATTTAAATTTAAGATCATGGTTAATAAAATTATAGAGCATTCTTAATATTTACTTCCCTTTTAAATGCATGTTGTTATGGCCTCAAACTTGGGGGATGTATACAGATACACAAGTATCTACATCTTGCACATCCCTGATCATTAAATGGAAAATCAAAATAATTTGGGAGGCTGAATAAAGCAGAATTTTATCTTACTTAAACATGTCTGTAATCATTAATGCTAAATAATTTTTATCTCATCTTGTAGAACCTTATTTCATAGCATATGGACATTAGCTGCCATACTCATAGCATTAGGAATAACTGCCCAGTGGAGTGCCCAAATGGTTCTGGAAACTGTCAAAATAGGCAAGTTGAAGATATTAGTTAAGGTGTACATGGCCCTTCAGCCTAGAGTGTAAGCTGGTTCTAGGAAAAACTGAGTGACTTCACCTCTTTCTCCTCGTTCAAGTCTTATCCTTAGCATCCTATCTCCTTGGTCTCCCTCCTAAGACTCCCTGCTGGCCTTCCCCCTCTGGCTGGACTGGTAGCTGCATTTGTCTTCCTATACTGCACTTGTCTCATCATCTTGGATTTCATAGTGCTAATATCCAAGCTGATATCCCCTATTAAGGAGAGAGGACTTTCGAGCTATTCTCAACCATAAACATGCCTTAAAGTGGTAGCTTCTGGAATCACCTTTGAAGGCCAGTGATGAGCATTTTAGGCTAATCACAAGCTGAGAAAGTCCCAAAAGGGGAAAGCTGGGAAATGCTGGGATTTTCATAGCACCTCTCCAAACTCCTACTTGATCTACACTTTAGAGCTGGACCTGACTGGAGGGAGCTCTAGGAAAAAAGATTACAAAGCCTTCCTCAGTTGGTCCTCAAGAATACATAATATCATTTAGCAGCTGAAAGGGCTAAGTGAAATTATTCCAAGGATTTCTTCAAGGAGATGATGAACATGGTCCACATCCTCTTAATCTTGTACTCAAAAAGTTGTATAGTTGCTCTTCACACTCTGCTTTTCAGGGTTAATAAAACCAACACGTTTTAGCATTTCTTTTTCTCCAAACTGTAATAATTCTCTAGAGCTTCTTACATGTCCCACTAATAAAATTGGAGCCCTAAGTTTAACAGAATACACTCAGAGGGAAAGTGGCCTATGTGTAGCCACTGAAAGTAGTCTCCAAATTTCTAAGGATCAAACTTTGCTGATATTGTAATCTTTTCGAAATGGTAGTATATGGTCAACTAAGTTATTACTCCATTATGAAACCCAGATTCCTCTCTGCTCTCGATCTAATGAAATCATTTATTCAACAAAAGTTACGTATCTGCTAATCCCAGATTCTGTAATGGGTTCTTTGATAAGATAAAAAACCAATCTTGTACCTGAGACACTTTCACTGTAGCCAAGAAGCAAGATAGATGAGCGATTCAGTATAATAGATGCTGTGACAGATGTCTATGCAGGATAGTGTGGAGGCACCCAGCCAGGGAAGAGGACCAAATCATAATAGGCTTTCCTGAAGAAAACTATGCCTGAGCCAAGGGCTGAACGATGAAAAGTAGCTAGCAGACTGATATGGGGATGAGAGGGCTCCCTGGTACAGGGAGCAGTGTATGTGAGAGTATAGGGGGGAAAAGAGCATGACCCTCAAGCCCTGCAGCTAATTCTGAATGGCTGGGATACTGAGTTGTGAAGAAGAGAGGGAGCAAGAGTGGAGGCTTGAGAGGCAGTAGGAGGTCAGAGCATGCAAGGCTTTGTATGCCCTGGTTTTAACCTAAAGGCCACTGGAAGCTTTTGGAGGTTTTTAAGTCAGAGGATGACATGATCAGCTTACATTTTAGGAGATCCCTGTGGCAGTATCAATAATGGCTTGGAGAGGAACAAAACTAGAGGTAGGTCTCAGAGGCCACTTAAAAGTCTGTTACCATAATCCAGGCATGAAAATGGTAAAGGCCTGACCTCAGGTTATAACAGTAGCTGGAGAGAAAGGGGAGGATTATGAGGCAGGATTGATAGGAGTGGGTAACTAAGGAAAATCAAGGATACCTGCCATTTCAATAACTATCTTGAGAGGATAATGAGATAGGAAGTATAGGAGGAAGAATAGGTTTAGGGAAGGGCCAGGGAGAGTGGTGTGTAATGAGTTCACTTTGAGAAATACTGGGTTTAAGTTGTACCTTTTAAAGCCGTAGTTCAGAATGAAAACACTTCATTTCAAGAAATTTTTAAATGAACGAGATACGTCATCAGAAATAATAGCATAATTGGCTAGCCATTGCATACAGATGTATGGGAGTTTTTTTTCCTGAAAATTGGCACTTCCTCTTAAGAGTGCACTGCTTTAAGTCTTATTAATTGTATTTTAGTAACATAAAGTTGTTGGATTTACAGTGTAGACTACTTCACACTTTCTTATATTATTAAAATTGAGCATTCTCACTTTCCCGAGTACCATTCTACCATAAACGTTCTGCATAATATATCATCCACTCCTCACCATATCAGTTCTCCTTCCAACTATATTTAAGTAAGAAAGAAGCTTGTAGGGCCGGCCCCGTGGCTCAGCGGTTAAGTGCGCGTGCTCCGCTGCTGGCGGCCTGGGTTCGGATCCGGGCGCACACGGACGCACCGCTTCTCCGGCCATGCTGAGGCCGCGTCCCACATACAGCAACTAGAAGGATGTGCAGCTATGACATACAACAATCTGCTGGGGCTTTGGGGGGAAAAATAAATAAATAAATAAAATCTTTAAGAAAGAAGCTTGTAGGGCCGGCCCCGTGGCTTAGCGGTTAAGTGCGCGCGGTCCACTACTGGCGGCCCGGGTTCAGATCCCGGGTGCACACTGACGCACTGCTTCTCCGGCCATGCTGAGGCCGTGTCCCACATACAGCAACTAGAAGGATCTGCAACTATGACATACAACTATCTACTGGGGCTTTGGGGAAAAAAAAGGAGGAGGACTGGCAATAGATGTTAGCTCAGAGCCAGTCTTCCTCAGCAAAAAGAGGAGGATTAGCATGGATGTTAGCTCAGGGCTGATCTTCCTCACAAAAAAAAGAAAGAAAGAAGCCTGTAAAGTAGTTAAATCATTGATGTATCATGGGTTAAGAGAACCACTGGGCATCATTGTAGACCAAATACAATATAGGTGTCATTATACTATAGCAGTTTGATTTCCTAAAAGATAAACACTAAGTAAATTTGTTTAATAAAATGGAACTTTCAAAATCTTTAGGGAGCTGGTTCATTTTTTTGGTGATCTTCATGTAAAGCTGACCTTTCTATTCTGTGTTTTCAGGATATTATCAACTCACTAGTAACAGCAGTATTCCTGATAATCATATCTGTGTTGGCAGTGATGCCAGAAACCACAACATTTACAGTCCTTGGAGGGGTAAGTGGAGGTCTTTCCGATTCCTTCCTTTAGGTTTGATCAGAGTTTGAATTTACCTGAAAAATAGACACAAGAACAGAAAACTCTACTGTATTCATCCTTGGGGCTCCTAGGTCAGTATACAGTACCTGGTGGCTTAATACTTTTTTGTGTGAATACATGCCCTGATTAATGTGAAGGAATATGATTTCACACTAAAATTGAAGTTAACCAAATAAAAAGGTTCCTACATATTTCTCATAGGTATGTAGGGCTAGACCAGACTGAGAAAATCTAGACTGAGAAAAGCTGCTGGAATCAGTTAACAACACTTAGCTCTGAGAAACCTGATGTCAAGCAAAAAAACCCATTGATGAGTTGAATAGCTCTCCCTTTTAAAGAAAAGGACACATAGCACTTGCTAAGGTTAGACAGACTGTTCTGAGCTCAGTTATTTCTTGCCCAGATCCTTCTTCAGTTGGAATATAATAGAAAATGTCTCATGATAAGGGAATGGTGGTAGGAAGCCTTGTAACTAAAGGATTATTTTGAACACTGCTTGAAGAGAGGCAAATCAATTTACTCAGACTTTGTCCTGGAAGGCAAGCCAAAATAAAAAAGTCAAGTAATTTAGTTATAGTTCCATCTGATAGTCTTCTGAGATTTCTTATAGGAGGTTCAAAATCATATGGCTTTTCTAGGTTCTGATCTAGAGAATTAGAAGGTTCTTCTTAAATAAATCTCCCTCCTCCTTCCTGTCTTTTCGTAGTATGGGCCACATAGGAGAACGATCACTATCGGACAACCATGTATATCAGAATCCATGGTTTTTTGTCTCCTTTATTAGGCCCTAAGCAACTTCATGAGGGATGGGAATTTTTCTAGAAATGAGATAGCACTGTAACAGCAATTTCCCCCGTTGTCTTTAAAGATAATGTTATCCCTCTACAATGGAGAAAGAGGGACCAGGCATAGGATTTACTTTCATTCACTTATTTACTCATTCATTCATTGATTCATTCTTTAAGTGCACTTTGGTAGGTGCTGACAAAGTATAGAGCTGTGCTGTCCAGTGCAGTAGCCACCAGCTACATGTGGCTACTGAGTACTGGAAATGTGGCTGGTCTGAACTGAGATGAGCTGTACGTGTAAAATATATGCTGGATTTCAAAGACTTACTACAAAAAAAAGAATATTTCATTAATTAGTAACTTTATTATATTGATGACATGTTAAAATGATAATATTGGATATAGGCTAAATAAAAAATATTAAAATCAATTTCTCTTGTTTTTTCTTTACTTTTTAATGTGGCTATTAGAAAATTTTAAATTAATTATGTGGCTTACATTGGTAACTCACATTATATTTCTTTTGTACAGCACCGGACTAGAACATGAGCCCTATCTTCAAGTTACTTAGAGCCTAATACAGGAGACAGAAGTACAAACAGCTGTATATAAGCTGTTGAGAGAGTGCTGCAAGCACAGAAAAGAGGAGGCAACTACCTCTCTCTGGCAGTGGAATCGCAGTTTGCTGGGAATAAAGGGGAGAAAATGAGGATGGTTCCAGGTGGAGGAACCAGCAATATGCAGAGTTCCCGAGTCCTGACAGGATAGGTAGGAGGTCTTCAGTGTGGTCAGCTGCACCTGAGATTCAGGGTGGAAGAAGAGCGGTGTCTGGAGCCAGAAAGCCAAACTTCCTGGCCGTTGGATGGAGCTGACCAAATAGCATGCAAGGAATGACATCCCCCTTCTCCAGCCCAGGCACCAGCTCTCAAATAGTCATCAGACTACCTAGAGATCATGTTCTACTTTATTCCCTTTCCCTCAGTTTTATTTTCCTAAGGCCTATTTAGAATTCCATCCCTTAAGTGGATGTAGCTCAGCCTTTGAGAGTTCACTTTGGATCATTTTATCACTCCGGTTCTCCAAAGCTTTTATCACAGCCACTATCTCCACGGTTTAGTCTTTGGCTGGTGTTAGCTATGACCCTTTCTCCAGTAGAATTTGCAATAGGAAAGTCAAACTGTTGAACGTTGGGGATAGAAATGTTGATTGATAACTAAATATTATCAGTAGGGCTTTAAACAATACATCCAGGAGCAGGTCAAGAGACCCAGAGAAGTATTTATTTCAGAGCCCACACCACTTCAGTATTATTTCTGCTCACTTAAGTTGTCTTTTCCCTTTCTCTAGGTAGGTACTGGGAAAACTTGGGAATGAGAATAAAATGATCTTTGAGGCCTCTTCCCATTTTAGTATTAGGTGGCAGCATAGAGAGCAATCCCAGTACCCTAGCAGGAGAGAAAGCGGTGGGCAGACGACTTAAAACCCGTGTGAATAACAGAAGTCCAGACAACGGCCACAGCAGTGACTCTGTGTCTTTGTTTCCAGGTGTTTGGACTCTTGGCAGCAGTGTGCTGTATGGCCGACGGGGCCCTTATTTACCGGAAGCTTCTGTTTAATCCAAGCGGTCCTTATCAGAAAAGTGCTATTCATGACAAAATATAAATTTTGTAATTTTATATTCCTTTTTAGTTGATGTTAAGTATTAAACATCTCTTTATTCTTCCACATATTTTCTACGGTTGTTCTCATTTTAATCTCGATATGGGAGCTGGAGGAAGAGATTTAGGAACTCTGCGCCCAGCACTTACCCTTACTGTAACTTCCAAGGGAGCGCTGGGAGCGCTTGGATTGGATCGGGTCGGATCGGTTTTCCCCACTCCTGGGCCTGGGTGGCAGAGAAGAATGGGCCAGGACCGCCCTAAATGGTCTCCGGAGCCCCCTTCCTGGCTGGCTGGCAGTGAGGAGGTGGTAGGGTTGCGGGGACATTGAGTAACCAGGCTAGGCAGTGGCGCTGCGATCCAGGTGGCGACAGGGGTGGCTGGAGGGTTTGGTTTGTCCTCGGGCAGCGAGAGCCAGGTGTGCGCGAGGGACAGGCGACCGGCAGCCGTTGGAGCGCGACGCTGTCCTAGGGGAGAGCCGGCCGCTTTGCACGCTCAGAACCACAGGGCCATCCTGACACAGCCAGGCCCCGGGGCGACCATGGATCCCGAAGACACCAAGGTACTTTCAGGGGGCTTGCCACACCCGGAGCAACCCTAGGCGCGTCCGGTACGCTCAGTGCGTTCCGCACATCCGGCGCGCCCCGTGCGTTCGGTGCGATCCACACGGCATCCAGGACGCCGACGGCACGCCTACGCCAGACGTCGGTCAAACACCAAGTGTCCCACACAGCAAAGAAGGCGGCGGTCCAAAAGCGCGCCGAGGGCCGGGCCAAAGTCCTGCCCAAATTCAGGGACAGCTTCAAGCATTTTTTCTTCTCACCCACTGGAGCGTTGAAGATCCTGAGGCTGGTGAGCAGAGAGAGCTGGTGACCCGGCTGGGTGGCTGCAGGGCGGATGCGGCCTAAGGGGGGAGTGATTTCCCTGGGTGCCACCTCGGGAAAGCTTCCCTAATTCCCTTTGCTGGGCACCTCTGTTTTGCCTCACCCTTTCTCCCCTTCTCCCCTTACCCCTCCCATACACTCAACGCTTACTACTAAATGTGGCCTTTTTTCCCCTTTTTATATTTCTCAGGTTTCTCTTCACAAAGGGAATTAGGGAAGCAAGGAAGGTAATAGCAGAAATGTGTAAATTAGCCAACAAAAATAATAGAACTGACCAATAAAATTGATAAACCACTGGCCAATATAACAGGGAAAAAGGGGGAAAGAGAGGACATATATTTAAAGCTAAAAACCAGAAAGGGAAAATAATCACAAACCCCAATGAAACTGAAAGGATCCACAAGAGTACTTTGCAAAACAAATTTGAATTGGATGAAATAGTTGATTTCCTAGGAAAATATAAACTACCAAAACTGATCCCAGAATAGAGAAAAACCTCAACAGACCAATATAAACAGGGAAGAAAATGAGATCTTATCAAATGAGTATCTTTCAAAAATTTATCAGTCCCAGACTTTTTCACAGGTTAACTCAAACCTTCATGGGATGTAATTCTAATACTATTCAAAGTTTTTCAAAGACTAGAGAAAGAAGAAACACTTCTAAACTCTTTTTACAAAGTCAGTATAACACTGATATCAAAACCTGACCAAGTTCAGAAAAAGAAAATTTCACTCATATCAAAGCAACAAGTATTAATATATTAGCAGAAAATATTCAATACTTTTTTTAAAACACCATGAAGAAGAAACATAAGGATGATTCAATATTAGGACTCTATTAAACTAATTCACCATATTATAAGTAAAAGGGGAAAAAATTAGATTATATCAAATAGGGTACAGAACACATTTGACAAAATTCAACACTGATTTCTGATTGCCAAAAAAAAAAAGGAAGAAGAAGAAAGAGACCAGTAAAACAGGAATACATAGATATTTCATTGACATTATAAAAATGAACCCAAAAGTCAGCATCATATATAATTAAACGTCAGAGGTATTCCCATTAAAATGAGGAACAAAGAGGATGCCCACTCTCAACAATGTTATTCAATATTTTTCTGGAACCACTAGTCATCACAATTAGACAGGAAAAAGAAATAAGTAAGAACATTTGAAAAGAAGACGCAAAATATATCATTTCTTTCAGCTGATATGATCATATATCTAAAAAACTCAAAATCAACTAGAAAACAATTTAGAACAAGATCATTTCTACAAACTCACTTACCTTTACATCTACTAACTCTCTACATTTAATAGAAATGAGCAGTCACTTAAAATTGAAGAAAATATTTCTCTTTACAACAGCAATCAAAGTGATAAAATTAAGTAAAATAAATTTGAAAGACCTATATGAAGAAAACTTTAAAATTCTATTGAGAGATATTTAAAAACCACTAAAATAACTGGAAAGACATACTTTGCTCTTGAATGATAAGACTAAATTTTGTAATCTTTCCAAATTTTAAGTTAAATGAAATCCCAATTAAAATACCAACAGGCTTAGTCTGGGGAACTTGACCAAGACAAACACAGAAGACATAATCTGAGAATGAGCACTGAAAGGGGAACTAGGCCAGACGGTCACACAGTATAAAACGAATTGCCTGTAATTTCAAAAGTACTGGAGAAGAAATCAGCAACTCAATGAAAAAGAACAGTCTCAAAAGAGACCTGAATACATCTGAGAATTGAGTATATGATAAAGATTGAATTTCAGATCAGTGGGGAAAATCATGGTGTTTCCCAGTAAATGATGTTGGGATAATCAGCAGCTGTTTGGAAAGAAGGAACGCTGGGCTCTACCCACTCCCTATCAAAATCAGTATGTATGTACTCTACTTTACCTGTATATACATATTCTTTCTGGTATGAAATATACACTGTTAACAGTGGTTACTTTTAAGGAGATAGACTAGGATTGGGTTGAGGGAGGAGAAAGAAACTGACGTTATTTTTTACCTTTCTATACTTGTGCATTTTTATTATTTGCGTGTATTGTTTCATTTCTTAAAAATATAAGAAATTTTAAACAATAAAATTTATGTGCAAAGCAATAAAGGCAAATGTAATATAATCAGATTTACATTCTGATAATTTATGGGTTTTTTTTTTAAAGCCCATGTGCATTAAAAAATATCCTGTTTCTTTTATTGCAGGGTCTTCTCATAGGAGCATTAGCTTGTTTCATCACCACCACAGCCCATGAGTCGTATATAGCAATCACAGTTCTGGGAATCTGCATCGTTCTTTTTTTTATTCTATCATATATGCTAACCCTTCACCACTTGGTGACTTATTTAGATTGGCCCTTACTTGTAAGTGTTCATTTTCATAATTTGAATATAAGTTTCACCCTTAGCCCCAGAGTAAAGGCTGTCCTCAAGTGAAAACAACAGAGCTGTCTCTCTGGACAAGGACATGGCTGAGCTGTGACAGTGGGGTGTTGCCCTAGTCCCAGGGGAGAAACTAGCCTAATACCCAGAAAGATTCTTTGGCCCCTCTATCTGCAGGACAACCAACACACACACCTACTTCCATCTCATTATGGCACTGAGCACATGGTACTTTTCAGCTTGTCCTAAGGAAAATTTTAATTAGTATATTCAGTAGGTAAACATACTACTCACCTATTGCTTGTTAAACAGCATATGCTTCTGCTTTTCAAACAGCACCCTCTCTAACAGATTATAAACATCCCCCCCCACCCAAGCAAGAGTTGACATGGCAGAAAATTGTCATGCATACCCTGAAAGATTGCAGAAGTCAACGTTTTCATGTGTGTTAAGGGTCCATATCCCGAATGGGTGCCATATGGTGGAGTATTCAGGAAAAGACATCGCATAGCCTTCTTCAGTAACAGTTTCCCGAATTTCATATTCTTTACTAACTGAAAAATTCTCAAAGCTAATCCCTCAAGTCTCAAATCCTATTTATTGTGGAGCCTGAGGCTCTGCATCCTTAGAGACTAGAACTACAGTTTTGCCCAGATACAGACATAGGCCCAGTTCCTGACCATTACTAGCTGTGTGAATTTGAGCCTCAGTTTCCCCATCTAGGAAACTCAGTGAAGGAAAAATGTAAGGATAATAACTGCCTCATAGGGTTCCTATAACATTTAAACGTGTTTAAAGCAAATAATAGCACAAAGCCTGGCACCAAGTTAACGTTCACTACAGTGTCCATCAGATCCCATAAGGTATTTGGGTGGCTGTTATCATTTTATCTTGCATTGTGAACAATCCTAACTCCAAGCTCCGGCCTCTTCCACATCCCACTTCCTTATAGTATTTTTTTCTAACCTTAAGGTAGGATTGGTTGCTATTGAACTAAAACTCAAAATATTTTCAAGTATGTGAGGGATTTTCTGAAAAGGTTGCTGAGCTCTCTCTGTCCCACAGAGTGCTGAGCAACAGGAAGCAGAAAAAACAAAATCTGAGCAACTTTAATTGGACATATGGAAGACCCTCTTAGTTATGGAGAGCTATAACAATGGAGAGGTTTCTGAGGGGAAACTAAAATCTCTGTCCATGGGAATTTTCAAGAGGGGAAGGTAAAGTAACTGTTTTTTGAGCACATACCATGTGCCAGATACTTTTTCACATATATTACCTTCTTTAATCCTCACAACAACCTGGTGAGGTTGTAGTCATCCCCCACTCCCCATTTAACAGATGAGAAAATTGGATTAAAGAGATTAAGTTACCATGGTCATATGTAGGCACAAGGAAACGCAGATTTGAGCCCAGGTCTATCTGACTCTAAAGCCCAGACTCTTTCCAGACTTTATGCTCTATTACCTTGTGATGGTTTCTCTATCTCCACACTCCCTATGTCTTTGTCCTGAGAGTCTCTAAATTTATGTTCTCTGTAACTTCTGTTTCCTCATGATTTCCCTAAAATATAGAGCCAAAGGTGAATGGATTATCCTGGGGGTGTGTACAGGCCCTTAGGGGTGGGTGACTGAGGGTTCCACAGCCCCAAGGTCAGAGCTGTGGTCAGGAGGACCAGAGCCCCCTGCGAAAAGATCCATTGCCACAAAGCTGGAGAGCGCCTCGAGGCACCATGCTCTGATGTAGGGTCCAGGGGGAGCGGCCAAGAGGTGTCTGAGACAGAGGCAAGAGCTGGGGTCTCCTAAGCATGACCATGAATGTCCTGTGAGAGGAGCTGTTCTCACAGGGGTCACAGGCAGCCCCAGCTTTTGTAGAGTTGCAGGCCTTTGGTCAACTTTAATAAAGCCAGGCCCCCTTTCACTACCTCTGTCCTAGGGTGAGAACATTCTCTTTTCTTCGGATAGCTATGGGAGCCCAGAGCGTGATTCAGAGCGCCTGCCTTTTTCTTGCTCCTGTCCTCCAGGGTGCGGGCCAGGGTCTCGAAGCACGTGGATATGCCTGGTGAGCTCCTAGGAGTTCTTAGTTGAGAAACTGTCTTACCAAGAAGGTTGCCCCGTTATTCTGATGCTCAACTACCTAGCAGTACTAAGAAACCACATACTAACAAACACAGTTGGTCAGATGGTGAGTGATTTAATTGACTTGGAAGGTTTTTTAAAAACCCATCAAAACAGGATCCAAAATGGTGTTTTCTTCTCCTAGCCTGTCCCTTCCTTTCTAATCTGCCCTTTCAGATCCTGTAAGATGAAGGACATGTACATATAAGATTGCTCAGAGGGGTAAATAGCTACCACTGGGTGGTAATAAGGAGGCCTTGGTACAGCAGGAAATGTGCTGGTTTAGTGACAGTATTAGTGCCCAGGAGGTGACTACTTGATGCTTCAGAGAGGAGGTGGACTTGGAGAATTGTTGGCATCAAGCTACAGAAGTCACTTGGGATCTTATCGAACAGTCAGCCTGGGAAGCCAGAGAACACATGGCCTATTTCATACTGTAACTATTTTTAGGGTTCTGCATAGGCTCAATGGCCTGCCCACACACTAGAGGTATCCAGCATGCACAGGTGCCACTTTCTTTTAGCCCTTCTTTCCAGGCAAGATGGTTTGGTGCCCAGATGGTATAGGATTATGGTAAGGAGTACTGATTTTAAGTGGCTATCTCCTTAACGGCTCACACAAGGAAAGAGTTCCTTCTTACCTTATTCCCATTCTTGTTTGGCAAGGGGCTAAGGGTAAAAGTCCCCAGCAGGGAGATAGCAAGTCTGATAAATAAGGGCTTCAGACCCTCAGCAAGGCAGCATCAAAGAGTACTGGCCTCAGATACAGATGGCCTGCTGAGATCTTTGGGCTCTGGGACCATATTTTGGCAGGGCCTCCACTGGAGAGATCATGGAGCCTGGGCTTGGGGACCCACACCCCAGGCTCAGTTGCAGCTTCTCACTTCTCACAGCTTTCCTCACTCCTCCCATGGTGGGGTCTCTGTCTTCATTTTCAGACTTCATTATCCATTTTACCCACCCTAGTCTAGTGTCATCTGTCAACATACCCAAGAAAAATATGAACTGTAATTATTGTCTTCTGAATAGCCCATATTTTTTATTGATGTTTTAATAATTTATAACATTGTGAAATTTTGGGTTGTACATTTTTGTTTGTCCATCACCATATATATGTCTCCCTTCACCCCTT